TATACATATAGTAGAAATTACTTGCTCCTTTACAATTTTCGCAGGGAAAGGTCTTTTTACAGCGTTCATACCGGGAGACTTAAAAAAATAGCATTTGCTGAAGGACACATATTCTTCCTTTTTCCTTTTTTCCTTTCTGGTTGAGGAAGGAGGCAGAAATCAGGCCATTGTAGTGATGCAAAAGTGAGTACATTAAAAGGTGACTTACAAAGAAGTTGTGTATAAGAATCATTCGTACCCACCGTAAACTATTAGTTTTCAGACTTCATACGTTACCTCTTTTACATCTTTTGATTTTGAGCGGTGTCGAGCTGTTGTTTTAATTTTTGTTTTTTTAATGACTTAAGCGTTTTCTGATACGGAAAAACTGCTTATAAGCTCACTCTTTGTCGGGACATTGCTTTTCCTTGCTGATTTCCTGCTCTGTTTCAAATGGTAAAGTAACATCTTTACATCGATTGACTCGACTGCTTGTATAGGAATATTTTCATGAAAGTAATCAGAATCAGAAAGTGAAATAAAGTTGTTGCAGTGTTGAGGCGGCATTGCTTTACAGTGGGTCTTTAACCCCTATCTAAGGTATCCAGCATTACCCTTGCAGCTCCTAAATGTACGACTGTAATAGTTTCTTTGTTATTTTTCAGCTACTAAGTTAAAGAACAGAGCCACTAAAAAACAAGACTGAACAGCTCTTATATAATTTCCAAAGCTTTATCCGATTATTTATCTCCATCCACTTCATCATTTCATCTCAGCTTTCTCCCACTGTCGTTGGGGACTCCCATGCAGCATAGAAATGCCTTCGTCTAGCTCTTAGTGAGATTCAGAGAATTTAAAGACCCGTTATATAATCGATTTATATGCACATTCATTCAAACACAACTGTTTAATCGTTTGTAAAAGAAAGTAAAATTTATGCTCCTAATTATCTCAACGGGCTGGTCACAAAATCTTTACTGAAAAGATGAAATTTGAAAGTAGTAATACTTAAATTTCACTAAATGGTTTCAGATATTATTAATCATGTATAAATACCTCGGTACATGCGCATGTACCAATATGTATGCGGCTGACGGCTATAAATTTTATTTTTCATCTTTATCTTTTTTTTTTTTGAACACTAAGTGACAGTTATGGTGGTTATACTACGCATGGTGCTGATGTTGTTGTTGTCAATGACATCGACAGTAAAACGACGCTCAGTACAGTGACAATGAACCAAGCAAGAACCACTATTATTGTAAAAGTTTTGAATGAAGAAGGTAATAAATGAAATTTGTTTAAGAGACAATCTTTAACTAATAGAACTTCAAAAATTAAAAAAAAAGGAATAAAAATTAGCGAAAGCAAAATTATTATTGAGTGAGGAAAACAAGGCAGTAAAGAAAAGGAAAACTAGAGAGAATAGTACTAAGATGATGATGATGATGATGATGGTCAAACAGCAACAAAAAACAGTTTTTCCGAATTTTTGCCATCCTTTTTAGCGCAGTAGAAACCCAAAAATAGAAGGAATAAGTTTTCAAGCAGATCAGATGCATATGTTTGTTATAATAGATGATATTTCTTTTAATTATCCAACTTATTATTATTTTTCACTATATCCTAATGACATAACAAGTTTGATCATAAGAAAAGGACGAGAAGAGGAAGAAAGCATTCAGTTTATTATCACCATAACAAATACACATCGATTAGTCAGGTAGCCTTTTAAAATTGTTATATTTTTCTTTTATCTCTCAAAAGTAAGAAATATGAACAAAACTTCAAACAGAATTTGCATTTTGGATTACAAAATCTAAATTTTTTCTTGTCAGTGGTCGTTGAGCATCAGTTTGTGTACTCGGTGGCGTGAATATGGAAGTTACTTTTTTCAACAATTCCGCATTAAAGTTTTGTTTCAGTAATCCCTCTGCCTTCAGAAAAGATAACGATGGAAGTCCTCCAGGAAACAATACACTTAACGGACCCAAATCATCGTTCATCTTTGGTTCCTGAAAAAATGACCCATCAGAGAACCAGTTAATGGGTTGTAACTGTAGCTATATAATTCTAAACTCTTAAAAGTTCCTGAAGCAAAAAAAATTTACTCTTGAAGATTTTTTTTTGAATTGTTATTTTATTATGGAAATATCCAAAAAGTTTAGTAGTTGTCTAATTGGTGGCAGAATGTTATCCAGAACACAGTAATAAATAAGATCAAAAAACTTACAGCACCGGGAGGAGCATTGACTGGCTTTATTGGCCGCAGCCCACTAACAGATAAATTAGGAGAACCGCTCGCTTTTAATTTATTCTCGCCCAAAAATTTCTCTCGCGTTTTTGAAGACAAAAGAGCTTTGAACAACTCAAGAGCCTAATAAAATCATATTTGTTTTACAAATCAAGTTGATAAGTATGAAAAATAAATCAGGTGTTAACAATAATAAAAGAACGGAAAAACAATTTTTGACTTTATACACAAATTATTCGATATACCTGTTGTCCGCTTAAATTTGAGAAGCCAAGATGTTTAGCAAAATTTTTTATTTGGTCTAAAACTGCAGGTTGACCAGCAAGCTGTGACACAATTACATTAACGTCCGGTGCTAAAAGACGATTTTGTCCTACTGCTTTGACAGGTAGCACAGCTGGTTGTATCTGTTGTCGTCCTGAACTTCCTATGCTCAACCGGGTATATACCAGTGGGTTTCTTAAAGATACATCTGACTGATAAGTTTCACTGTAACCTGGGCCTTCCATAACATCCTCGTTGTTCCTCGGTTCTAGTTGAATCAACGTTCCAAATGACGTTTTAGAAGGCAACAAAGTTTCATTCCTATTTTCATTTGTCGCTTTACTTTTTTCATGATGTAAATTTTCAGATTTAAACTTCTTTGCCTCTCGAATTATTTGTGGCCGAATTGGTGAATGGTGTCTGCTGTGATACTTTTGAATCCGTAAATTTTTCTTTAAAGGGTGTGGAAATCTTACTTGATTTGGATTTAATATGTCCTGTAAGATGAAATTGCAGTTGAAGAAATTAAACTGCGTTTATCATTTGATTTGACGGTGAAACATTGCATGAAATTAGTAAAAAAATTATTTTTGATTGCTATATAGTTTCAAAGCAGCTAGGTTACAAAAAACTCCATATGCTCTTTCACAGATTTAAATTATCTAACAAAAACAACTACCGAAGGTGTCGAAATGATTTACCTCATTAAGTTTTGCGGCCTTAATCTCTTCAGCAATTCCACTAGTCTTATCGCCATGCAAAGTTGTCGCTTCTGTTGTCGTATATAAATCGTAACTCGAGTCTTCAAAAAATATTTTCATTCAACTCGTAGTTAATGGAGTTATCTTATTATGTAAATCACAACTTTTTCCATTTGTCCCTAAATGACTTTCAAAAGCACTAGATTTTTAAATTTTGCTCCATAGCCGCAACCTGATCCTGTAAACGGTTCAAAAAATAGTCAAATAAGATAGATCAAGATAATTTACCACATGACATTTCATGACCATAAGCATTAGTCAGCCTGATTTCCGACACAGCCAAAAAATTTTTCGGCGGTACTACTGCTTTCAAATGCAACTGATTCAGCGATCCATCAGCTCGCACAGGAATCCTGACTGAATGCCATTCTTTGCCATAAAGTTGTCCTCTACGTGTCCATAATTCTTTCTGTTCGCTTATATTTCCTTCCGATACTGACAACTCAGTGCTTCCGCTGAACGAAAAAAAAATTTAAGGAAAAATCGAACAAAAAAATTAATAAGAAATTATGATGCTGAGGTTAGGCGACATAGACTTATATTTTGAAATAAAAATGGTTTATGGTCCACTTAAGGAGGGTTCTGAGATCAAGAAATCATTAAAACGGGAGTTATTCGTGTATAACATGTTCCAAAGAGTGTTTATTCGTTGAGCATTTGTTCAAAAGCCCCATAATCGACTATTTTTGAACGAACCATTGTTTATAGACTTGTGTACTTCACTTGCTTCCGACACAAAGTTGCTGACATGAAATATTACCTGTTGAAGACCGCTTTTGACCATTTCTTCAGACTTATACGAATAGCAGCCTGCTCAGTTCACTCCACTTTTGAGTCATTAAATTTTAACTTCCCATTGTTACTAACTATTTTAAGAAAAAAATGACAAATTCAAAAAAGATATACACAGCAATAGTTTTTCCTGACCTCATCCAAAGATTAAATTCAAGGAATGAATCCTCAAGAGAAGTATTAAATATTGGAGTGTCAGCGGTGTGAATTCCTTCTTTGCTCACCAGCAGACGTCCTTCAACTCTCTTCCAATGTTTACTGAAAATCCTAAAACAAAATTTTTGTGTTTTTTTAACCTTTATCCAACTTATTTTCAACTCTTTTCACTTCCACTAAACCACTATTATTCTACCGTGAGTGTTATTGAGATTAACTTAGCTTACACACTGCAATATAAAAACTCACCACTGACAGTCGGAATCAAATGCACATCTTACTGCCTTACAAAACCGGTAATGCTTATCCAGTGGCCAAAACTTCTTTAAATGAAAACCGTCCTCAGAACTTTTCTTTTTCAGCTGCCAGTCTAAACACTTGTTCCTTAAAAATCTGTTAAAAATCCTGTTGATGATGGCATTTGTCTTACTAATTAAAGTATAAGAAAAAGAGAATTGAATTAAATACTGTCAGCTAACCCTTGGTCGAGTAGCCCTCGTCAAATGTACCGAGTTGATCGCATTCTTTTGTCTTCTGTTGGAAAACAGTTGTCCCACTGTAAAAAGTTCTGCAAATTTGAATTCTGCTATATACAACTATAAATTTAAATCTTAACTCAGATGATTTGAAAGATTACTACTAATATTCGAATGTCGATGTTTATTCCTAAAAACGTTTACCGTTTGTAATGCTAAATTTCACTGTCAAACAACTCAAAAAAATACGTTCAAAGCGAGATCACACGTAGAAAGAGCAATAGAATTAGAATTTAAGTGATATCTTTAGAAATTCCAAAATAAATGTAGATTTAGAAGAAAAAAGTGTAAAAATGAGAAGTAAAACACTGTGTTAAAAAGCATATTAGTGTCGAACTGTTTAAAGTCTATGATTTATTCATTTTATAAAAAAAAGCCGTCTAATGATTACAGGACACATAGAAATAAAGATGAAAATTGAATAAATTATTGTTGCCAAGTAGGTTCTTAATGATTCTGTGACTCCGACCTAATGACAATTCAGGTTCAAAAAAAATTTAACAGTGAGTAGTTTTGTATTTTGTTGGAAAAGTTTACTTTCTTATTTTAATAACTGTGGTATAACGAGCTAAAAAGCTAACGTAAGGATTGAAATAAAACTGTAATGGCCGCAATGTATTACAGAATTTTTCTTAGCATATTAACAGAATGAATTACTGACAGGAATCTCAATTCTGTCTGAGGTTTAATTTTTGTTCAGTCATACTCAGCAGTAAGTTTAAAAGTGCTTTTTTCACCGGAGACCAAATTCATAAAACGAGAGAAAAGGAAGAAAGTGATCAGCTATGGAAAAGCTCAATTTATGAAATTTGTCTTTTCAGGCATAGATATTTCACAAACCTACAGAAACTAAAAGAAATTCGAGTTTTGGAACGCTGTAATAAACAACTAGAGTGGTCAAAATCTCCTCCAGATATTTATTAAATTTTTTACCAGCTAGTTTAAAAGCTAATGTAATCAGGTTTTTTCAGAATACCAAATTTCTTTCTCTAAACTACATTTCTCTTAATATAAAAATCAGTCAAATTTTCTTCTACAGGATGATAAGCGAATAATACCATTGTAATACACATACTGTTCAGAAGACGGCACGTGGAATATAAATGTGGCACAGTTGACCGTAAAATCAATGTTATCAATGCCTACAACATCGCTGCTTGACTTCAAATGACGAACGCGGAACACCACCTAAACCGTTCAATCTTCCAATAAATTTTCCAAAAACACAAGACATAATTATCTTTTGTAAAAGGTTGTCATTTAAATCATTTTTATGCAGTTTTCGTATTTTGAATAGTGATAATTCTATTTTTTTTTAAAAATATTCCTTTTAGAATGTGTGATATTCAATCGCTCTTTAAAAAAATTAAATAGGTGAAGAATATTTTGAAAAACGTGTAATAAAAGAAGATTCAAAAAGTTTTTTGATGAAATACCAGAATTTATCAAATATGAGAAAACGCTAACGCAACTTCACTTTACATTTTTTAAGTCAACCCCTCAAATTTCCTTTATTCTCCAACAGTTTTTAGAATTTGGTACTTGACTGTGAAATTAAAAGACTTTACTTTAAAATACGTACTGACGATAAACTAAGACTGTTCCGAAGTGCATAGAGAAACAGAGTTCTTATTGAACATGGTCATTTTTAAGAACTTGCGGTTTTGTTTGTTCATAACACATGTTTAAACCTTATATATTATTTTAAAGTGCATTTTTGATTTTGCAGTCGAGTATCAGGTCTTACACGTTGGCAGAGGACAAAAAAAATCTGAGGGTTTGACCCAAAAAGCTCGCTATCTAATGCGGAATTACTTACCAAGTTTTTGTTTTATACTTACAAACCCAAACAATGTTGAATTTTCTTTATTTCAAAAAATACACCTATTTTCTACATTACTTTACCACTGTATAATCTCACCTTTTAAAAATCATATATGCGTTGAATATAATCTTTTAAGCTTTTATGATCGTTTAATCAAAGAAAATTTGTTCTTCTGTTTAAAAGAAAAAAGCAAGAAAAAATCTGTATAACTTTAAATTATATACATATTCGGTTAAAATTTTGATCTCATGCGTTTTACTTATGAATGGCTGTAAGAACCTTGAACGGATGCAAAGATGGTGGTAATGAAGTGCTATGATGCACCCACTTATGTGGGATTTGTGTTGAAACCGTATCCAAGCATATCATGTCCTCGTCCTTCAGTAAGCAAACCTAGAAAAAATTATAACAATATTAGTAATAATAGTGGCTGTAATAGTCATAATAATAAGCCAGGATCGTATTGCCCAGCAACTCGGTTTAAAATGCTGCAAATGAACAAAAAAAGAAAGTGTTTAAGAAGTAACTTTCAATTGGTAGGATTATTATCGCATGGCCACAGCTACAAATTTTGATTTATTCAAAACAATTGCAATAACAGTACACAGTTGCAGTAAAAAGCCTCAGACAAAAAAGTTTTTCCAATAGAGGTAAATAAAAAAAAATCTTACATCAAGGCTCGGATTAAGTGAAGATTTCCAAAAATCGAAATCAATCCTACCGCTGGCATTCATTCGCTGTATCGGTGGACTAATTAAATGTGCTTCAGCTCGCCTATCAAGACCACCTTCGATATATGCATATAATCCAGCTAAAAATTCCCATTTCCTATACTGAGAAACTAGAAAACATTAAAAAAAACGATTCCTCTTTCCCAAGCCTCCAGATTACTTGAGCA